TGGCGGGCTGGGGGTCCGGTCAATGTCGAGCAGCTGCGGCGAAGGAGAGCGCGCCGGGGGCGCTTGCGGCGAGCACGAGCGCGTGGGGGACGCCGCTGGAGGGTCGTAGTCGCCGTTGTCGAGCGACTTCTTGATGTGGCCGTAGATGGTGCGGCCAATGGCAGCGGTGTCGGGGCGGATGGAGCGCGACTCGCGCTCCTGCGGGTTGTGGCCAAGGTACGGCACGACGGTGTTTTCGGCGCCCTTCCCGCGTCGGAAGACACGTGGCTCAGCGACCGCGTTCCGCTGAGCCGCCATGGCTGCTTGGTGGCGTCCTTCCGAGATTGGGCTGCGGCGGCGTTCGGCAGGCGGAGACCGGTTGAAGGTGAACGGCTGCTTGGCGGGGGGCTGACGTCTTGACTCGCCAGCTGGCAGCCGCCGGGACGGAGAAGCTGAGCAGGGTTGGCGCGGCCGCGAGAAGGCCGTCGTGCGGTTGGAGAGCGCCCTCGGCGACGAGAGAGCGAGCGGTCAGACAACGGTGGAGAGGGCGACAAGGACCGAGCGCGCGGACCGGTCCGGTGGCGAAGGAGCGCGTTTGCGGGCCCGCTGGCGCGACTCGCGGTGGGGTTCCTCGGCGTCCTGCTCGCCGTCGCCCAGGCGCATTCGCTTAGCACCGTCATCTGAAGGGGGTGAGCGTCTGTCGCGGCCGCCGCCGCGTCCGCCGCCGCCGTTGTCTCGCTGGTCGGCAAGGGAGCTGTGGCCGCGGCCGCCAGCGCCATAGTCGTCACGCGGAGGGCCCCGGCCGCCAGGTGCACGTGGATGGCCGCCCACCGGAGGGCCTGCTCGCGCACCGGTGGCTAGGAAACGCTGCAGAAAAGCGCAGACGTGCTGCGCGAGGCCGGTGTCTGCGCGTGACGTGGCGGAGATGAGCTGGCAGAGGTTGTCGATGACCGGGATGTTGCCCATGCTGGCACGCCGGTTGGAGGGCTGGAGGTCGGGGGTCGCGAGCAGCTCGTTAGTGAGCTGTCGCCGGGTGCCCCAGATCGGGTCGGGACTGGGGAACGGCTGCTCGGCGAGGGAGTTGAGCAACCGGAGGATGGCGGCCTGAAGGGTATCGGCGGCGCTCGCGCCGCGCGCCGCCGTGTTGAAGATGGCGCTGTAGTCCACGCCAGTGGAAGGGGGAGTCGCGGCCGCCGCTTGTGCGCCACGCTGGGGACCGGGGCGCGACTGTCGCGAGGGTCGCCTTGGCGGGGGCCGTTTCGCCGGAGCAGGCGCCGGGGCAGGGGGCTGAACGGCCTCGGCGACAGCCACTTCCTGGAGGCGGCCGCCGCACGCTGAGCCGCCAGGCGAGGGGGCTGCTCGCGGTCGCCTTCTTGCGCGCGCTCCGGTCGGATGGCCGCCGGTGAGCGGTCGCGTTCCGCCCAGGGCTCTTCTGGCGCGTCGAAGCAAGTGGGCGCGCGGCGCAGACACATGACGACGTAGGACCGCGCCTCGTCGGGGAGGAGCTGATCGACGGTGTAGAGGCCGTCGATCCAGGATGCGATGACGTGGCAGCTGAACGTGAGCGGGGCGCGAGTGGCACGCCCAATAGAGAGGAAGAAGTGGCGCCGTGTTGGGACCCTGCCCGATGATGGCGTCGCCCGGGAGCGGGATGCGCCGAATGATGGCGATCGCCTCGTCGTAAAGGGAGAAACGGCGCCGCGGGGTCGGGGGGATGACCCGGTACTAGTGTAGAATGTAGCCCCATGTCCCGTACGGCGCCGGGTGCGTACGGTCCACGTGGACGAGGGAGAGTGGCGCCACGTTGCTGGCGCTGGCCATCATGTAGTAGCGGATGGAGTTGCAGCGACAGGCGGGGAGAAGTTGCATCTTCCACTCTCGTCGTCGGCGTGGAAGTAGTTCCCCATCCACTCGCGCTGGACCACCGGCCCGCGTGTGGTCCTTCGGAGTGTTGGAGCCGGGGGTAGCTTTCCACTGGTTGAAGACGGTGAAGCATTCCACTGGTTGAAGACGGTGAAGCACTGGCCGGGGGTGAGGCGCTTGAGCACCCGCGACTTGACGATGTCATCGGGGACGTCAGCAACACCTCGGCACAGCCAGCCCGCCATCAGGAAGTCGAGGGGGTTGAGCCAGAAGTAGTAAGCGCCGGGGGCGAACTCGTGGGGTTGCGTCATCTGCTGCACGTCCCACGCTAGGCCACAGTAGGAGGGGGTCCGCTCCAGCTGCCGCGGGTCGTAGACGTCGATCGACTGACGTCGCCAGTCACGTGGGGGTAGATGTGGAGCTGCAGTGCTGACGTCATCGGCAGAATATTGTACGACTTGACGGCTTCGGTGTGGCCGTACTCCGTCGCGGCTCCGTTCGTCCTCCGCTGCTCCACCGTCCACTGGGCGACGAGCGTGGCAGCGTTGAGCGCCGTCTCCGTCTTCAGCAGCTTGACCACGTGGCCGTCGGAGTTTCAACTTTCCTTGTTTTAATACACTTTATGGGCGTTTTAAAACGGTTTTCTGTTTTGTTTGTTTTATAAAACGGGCTATTTTGAAGTCCGCCTAACCTGCAGATACATGTATTAAGATTTTGGCGTTTTTTAATGTTTTAAAACCGTTTTACTTTTTGTCGGGGGGGGCAAATTTCAAAACGAGTAGTGCAGTAGTGTTTTGGAAACTATAGACGAAGGGTTTTTCGATGGTCAGAAACAAAACATTGGATGCATTTGTTTTTCCGTCGTTTTGAATGAAGGCGAAATAAAAACGCCCTCTATTTTAAAACTGGAGTTGCCACCCCGTGCTTTGCATGTACGAAATCGGTCGTTCTTGAGGACTATCTGCGTACGGTTTTGAAGCATGCAGGCCCCATGCAGGCCCGGGCCTTGTCGGATCCTCTAGCCTCGGTATAGCTTAGCCTCGGATGGCCGCATGATACATGGTTCGCTCCATGTTCGCATTCTCTTGATACCGCATTCGCAATGATCAAGGAAAAAAATGTGACCGGTGGCGGAACGCCACGTATGCTCGGTTTTCACAGGGATCCAAAGGCTGTACTGAAAAGCAGGCGTTGCAAATTTGACGGTAGGGGCACGATGACTCTCGGCAGATTTCAAAAGTGGTCGGTACACTGTAAAATGCCAGCTGAAATTGTGACAAGTCTATCCTGCATATTCGGATGTTATCCGATATAGAAGAATAGAAGCCCGGTAAGTGAAGCGCAGTCTGGACTCCAGGCACTTTTCAGAGTGGAGAAGTTGAACTCGTGGAGCCCGGTATCCGTTATACGCAGCGTCCCAGCTGAACCGATATACGTACGGGCTAACGTCAAAAGCATGTGTTAATAGTTACTTCAAGCGTGCTAAAAAAAAAACTTTGGACAGCAGTTTGCATCGAACCATCGAAAGATACAGTCGGTGAGTTTTAGGTCTGAGATGGACCAAATTTGGCGTTCGACGGTTAAAATCGGCTTAACTGAGTGATCCAGTCTGGGGTGTCCATGTTCCGGGATTTCAAACGCTGGTGGGGAAAACTCGATAGCTGGTTTTTGGTAAACCAAACAAAAACGAGCTAAAAAAATGCTACATCGCTGTGCGGTGTGAATGCTCGGTTTTAGCGTGTAACAAGGGGGGCGCAGGTCAAGGCGCGGATTTGACATGCACGCACTGTAACCGGGTTTCAGGGTTACCTAGTCAAGTCCGATTGCCCGATAGCCCGCAAAGATACTGTAGCTACCTAGTCGGTAGGTACCTAGGTGGTCCTAGAGTTAGGTACCAGGAACCATGGCGAAAACGCGACCCGACCGTCGATGAACTTGGACGTTGAAGATTGCAAGTTGTAATTCAGATCGTACCGTTTTGCACGCTATTGGTATCCAAAATTCCAGAGATCTACGGTCAGAAAACTAGTGTCTCGACGCAAATTTTTGTCGTATCCGTAAATGTAAATGGGGGCCCCTAAAAAAAAGAATTTGGAAGCATCGAACCCAAAAGGCCGTCGAAAATCTGAGTAGCGCCGATGCAGACCTTGACGCACTCAAAAAGCGGCTTCGACGGATAAAACCGGCTTAACCGAGTGATCCAGTCTGGAGCGCCACTTCGCCCCATTTCAAAACCGCCAGGGTAAAAAACACCAGCTCGTTTTCTAACGAAAGAACCGAGCTATAAATGTGACCGGTGGCGGAACGCCACGTATGCTCGGCTTTTACAGGGACTGCGTTCTTATACGTGAAGCAGTCTTGGAGAGGTCCAAGATGGCAGCCGGTACATTGGCACCGGTACATTGGTAAGTTGCCCGGGGCCGGATATTGTCCAATTTAACATATTCAACTCTTGATATTGATACATAAAAAGCAATATAAGTGGTTGTCTGTGTAACCATTCGGGTATTTCCCCGAGCCTGTGAAGAGTCGTAAAAGAGTTGGTCACAGAAATACCGGTAAGATGTGAGTAGCCCGGCAGTGACAGTGTACGCGGCCAATTCAGTGGCACCAGGCTGTCTTATGCATATTCGTGTCAATCCGTATGGCACGCCGCAAAAGTTACTTCACACGCGCCAAAAAAAAAAAACCCAGACAGCAAAACGCTTCGAACCATCGAAATCACCAGTCGAGGACTTACCGGTATGCGGCCTGCCAAAACATGCGTTCGATGGATAAAATCTGCTTAACTGAGTGATCCAGTCTAGCGTGCTCACGTTCGGGGTTTTCAAACGCTGGTGGGGAAAACGATAGCTGGTTTTTTGTAAACCCAAAAAACCGAGCTTAAAAAGACATCATAGACATTACATGCACACACATTCCATTCGCTATTGGGTATGAACGGCCGGTTGTTCCGTATGAACTTAGGGCATTCAATGGTCACATGCGGTTTCGCCATTATCCTCGGGATAATGCAAGCACGCTCACACATGCATCAACACCACACGCGAAATGCTGACACGTCACGTAGTATATGCTCAAATCACTATGGAAGGATTGTGAAGAAGAAGGGAGACTGGCAAGATAGATGTTTGGCTCGTACAAAACGGGAAGCGGTTTGGTCACCGTACGTAAGGGCTGCCGCTGTATGATAGTCAAGAAGCGCTCGTTGCAACTTGAGGTTCCCTGGATCCTTCAAACGCGAAAAGAGGACGCATCACTAATCTGACATGCATTTATACCTACTCGAAGTGTACTCAATACGAGCCTAGTACTGTTAAGCATCTCCGAGCTTAATGGTCTAAATCGTTACAAGTCCAGACTAGAGCTACTTCCTACGTCGCATGAGTCTGTTCGATATAAGTGTATGCAGGATAGTGAAGTCGCTACCTCGCAAGTCGAGTCACGAGTACACTTCACTGCCGCAACGTGACTGGCCCGTCATTGGCGCATTCCGTAACTTGATTACAATTGGCCGAGTTAACCGCCATATCGCGATTTAATTGGCTACGTCGATAAGTCTAAACCTCGAGGTTTAATCCTACGGTCGTAATTGCAGTATGTAACCTTATATGAGTCGAATATCGTCGATTGTACTAACCCTTGAGTCGCGTGCGCTTGGCACTACGGCCGCGCCACGCCTTCTAGCCTAGTGCGACCCGATCGAACAGTGTTAAACTCCGACCACTACTGACACACTAGTGCCGCCTACGTCATTAGGCTCAGCACTCGAAGCATAGGCTATATAGTACTTACGCTCTTAGGCGCGTGACTCGTGCACCAATCTGCTGAGCCTCGCTTGTAGCTAGGACTCGGGCGAGCCTCTATACCAACGACCCTATATGCCCTGACAGCTGTCGGATCATCTAGCCTCGGTATAGCTTAGCCTCGTGCCATGCCGAGGGCGGTCCGTGCCGGGTAGTGTCCAGATAGCTACACGTGGCGCAGACGTGCCACGTGGCAGCGATAGGGCGAGCCCCGGCCGGCTTGCGAGCCTGGCGCGCGCGCCGCGGGTAGGGTCTAGGGTTAGTCCACTAGTGTGTGGTTAGTGGCAGACCGCCGAGATTACCGGCCGAGTCTAGGGTACGAGACCTTAGCCCATGATTGAGACTCGTGCCGGCCGAACTCATAGGGCCGAGGAGAGGTGATCCCTTCACTTTTCTTAGGCAAGTCTCCATAGCTAGGCGCATCGAGCATAGGGCGCTAGTGTTCATTGCATAGTGCAGCGGGCTATTGGCAGCAGGGATTGTGAACTGTGTCGGAGGTTCTCCTCCTTTCAAGTGAGTGCGGGAAGAAGCGCTCAGCGGCTGTCAGCTCATGTGTTGTGCATGATAGGAGCCGAAGCCTCGAGAAAAGGAGAAGTCACAATGGCCATGAGCATTGCATGATCGGTGATGTGCATGCTGCATAAGAGAGCAGAAGGAGATCTACGGCACTTGCAACGCCTCCACGCCGCCAATGTGTTTTGCGTGCAAGGGAATTGGCACGTCATCACTTGCCT